TTATTTTAATTTATTAATTTAATATATTTATTTAGTTAAATACTATGCATGTTTTTAATATTGATGATTATTATTCAATTCATTCTTATAAAAGATCAGACATAGTATCATTATCAAATATATATCATATGGCTACATGTGTTATAAAAAAAATTATAAATTGTAGACCAATTCCAGCAATATTTAATAATATTTTATTTTTTAATCCTCTTAATATTGATGCAAATTTAATTAACAAATATTTGCTTGAAAAATATAATGGTATTTTTGATATAAGTTATAATACTCAAAAATTTCAATGGAATAATCAAAATATTCAAAAATTTCAACACTTTGATCAAATAGAACTTCTTACAATTCATATTTATGATGATGCAATTTGTGAATGAAAAGATGAAAGATCAATAGAAAATGTTCAAATTATTGATATTGAAGAATATAATTTAAAATCAACAGCAGATTATATTAAAGCACTTTCAATGATAACAAAAATACCATCATTATATAAATATTTAGATCAAAATATTTTACTAGTTATAGCAGATTGGCCAGGACAATTATATATTCGAAAAGCTATTACTCAATTACAAAAAGAATTAAATATTCAAAAAAATAATTCAATTTATCAAATTACTATTTCAACAAATATTAAAAATTTTATTCTAATTTTAGAACCTTTACATGTTTCTTTAAATACAAGACAACATATTTTAATAATTCATTATGAATTTTTTAACAAATTATATAAATTTGTTTTTGGATTAAAAAAAAACAATTAGCAAAAAATCCTAAACCTTATAAAATTAATCTTCTTTTAGAATTACTAAGTGAAAGTTGGAAAAAAATTAGTAATATAATTATTTTAAAATTTCCTAAATTATGTAAAGATATAGAATATAGAATACTTATTGATCTTTTAGATAATTTAATTCCAGCAGCTTTAGATCTAGATCATTTGAAGAATACATTGAAACAATTTTTAGAATTTGGACATTTGCATTACAATAGAATCAAAAAAATTATAACAAAGCACCTTTAGCATTTTTATCTGATTATTTTTATTAGAAAGATACTAGACATTCATTTAGTAAATTATTAGAATTACATCTTGTAAATTTTAATGATTATTTTGTTGAAAATATTCATAGTAAAATTTGAGCAAATACAACTTCAAAAGATTCAGCAGATAATATAAAAAAACAAACATATATACTAAATCATCATAACTATTCTTTTATAAATTTTTATAGAAATATAAGAAAATATCCATATTCTTCTTCAACTTTAGATATATTAATTCAAAAAACATCATTATTTTTATTAGAAACTTTTTATTCTGTTTATAATAATATTGGAAAAACAAATTTTCATAAAAATAAGAAAAAAATTACATTAATAGCTCTTCAACAAATAGTAGATATTAGAAGTCTTCCTACTGGATATCATTCATTATTTTTACTTACATTAAATCAATGTAATTTATGTAAACAAGAACTTGTTGAAACTATAGAAGGAAATGAAATTATCTTAATTTGTGGACATGGATATCATTTAGATTGTTATAAAAAAATGAATAATAGATGTAAATATTGTTTACAATATTATAAAAAAGGAATTTTTGAAAATGTAAGTTCATTTATAGAAACATTGAAAAATAATAATAATAATATAAAAGAACTTATAGAAGATGATAATAATAATGATAAAAATGATGATGATGAAAATAATGAAACAAATGAAATACAATTTTTATCAGATAAAGATAATATTAATTTAAAATATTTAACTGCTCTTAATAATATACATAATTGGTAAATAAATTTAAATTATTTTATAAATTTTATAAATTTTTAAGATAAAAAATATTTATATATTATTTTAATTATTATTTATAAAATATTTATTACTTATATAATATTAAATTATTTTAAATTTTATTTTTAAATTTATTATAAAAATACAAAAAAAATTATATATTTATTTTTTACTAAATTTTATATATTAATATTATTATTATTTTTAAAATAGTTAAAAATACAAATAAAATTTTTTTAATAAATATTATGAATACTCAAATATTTGATTACTTAATTACTTTTATATATTAATTAAAGTTATTATGCAAGCTTATATATAATAATATGAATAACTTAAGCCAAGCCAATTAATAGCTCAGCTTTAAGCCTTATAATAATATACCAGCTTTAAAACAATTTAATTTAAAACTTGAAACTAATTGTAAAATTGCATGTTAGTAAGTTTATTTCATATTACTATTAACTAATAATAAACTCACCTAACATTGTAACTTTAGTGATATTAACAATTTATTTAATTGTTTAAATAAAGCTTTACTCAAGTATCTTTTTAAAAATCTAATGTTTTAATTATATAAAAATTATCTAAAATTTTTGTAAATTAATTAAAAACTTTAATGTTATATTTTACTATTACTATATATTACTATTTTCTACTTTAAATTGTATTTAAATAAAGTATACTTATGAAATAATACTTAAAGCTTAGTTTGTAAATAGCCTTTTACTATACAATATTATAAATGATAGTTATTATTTTTGTAAAAAAAACAATTTATTATTTAAATTTAATTATATAAAGTTAAGAAATTATAAGAAAACCTATATCTTAGAATAACAACTTAACTTAACTTGAGATTGATTGGCTTGTAACAGTTTAACTCTGATTGATAAGCTGAAAGACTGGCTCAGCTTGATCAATGTTAACTATAAGCCAAACTGAACCAAACCATTTGCATTACTATTCATATAATTATAGATTTTTTTATATTATTTTTTGTACATTATTATATAAACATAACAATTCTAGATTAAAATTTAATTAACCAATTATGACTTGTAAATTATGATCATAATTGCATAATAGCATTGATATTAGATCATGTAATAATAAATATTACAAAATTTGTTCTGTCAAAACAAATAATTAGTTGAAACATATTACTATGCAATATATGTTAACCAATTATTTGCTTTTACAAACCAAATTTCATGATATTAATCATTATATGATCAATATCTTATATATCACTGTTTAACTTTTATATATATATGTTATATGTTAAGTTAAAATTTACATTAGATTAAAACTTAAAAACTGAGTTTTATTAAGGTTAGAATGAAGTTCTATGCTCAAGTTAGAATAAATATTACTATGTTAATAAGATTTTAATCTGATGCAAATATTAATTAACATACAAAATATATAATATAATTGCACAAAAATCAGGTAAAAAATAGAGAAATTTACAAATAAGGATCCAGAAAGTGAAAATAATTACAAATACAGGCCCAAATTAAAAATAATTACATATGAAGGTCTAATTTTTAAAAAATATTACATATAAGAGCCCAAAATAACAGTGCCATTATTCAAACATATAGCCTGATTGTTATTAGCATAAGAAATATAAGTATCAATAAATGTAGTTATTAAGTATATAAAAATATTATGATCGATTGTAAATTAGTAATTTTAAATGAGAAAAGAAATTTTTTAATTTAATAAATTTATTTTCTTTGTATAAAATCAGTTATTGTTATAACAAACCATTATTATATCAAATAAAATACTGCAAATTGAAATAACATTTCATATGAAGATAATTGTTCTGCTCTTGAGAGCTACTCTGTTGAAACTTCATCATTTTATAAATAATTATGCTAGTTTAACACTATTTTTTATACAATATTTAAGCAAAAATGATTGTTGCCAGCATTTCATTTATTTTTTTTTATCTTATAATTGATATCTAGATAACTTTAAATGCCTATAATAAAACAATCAATAATACTATACATTACGGCGCATTTGCAAAATGTCCCAAAATTTGAAAAACTTGACTACTAATATGTAAATATAGATTTTACTAAGATAATAACATTCTTCAAGTTATAATGTGTCATTTTAATAAATTCCTATGTCTAATAAGATGTGTTGAGGGTAAGAAGATGGGTTAGCCTGTGGAAAAATAGGTTAGACTCATTATCAGTACAGACCAGAGGTCCAAAAAAGCTTTTTCGGTTTTACATTGATTGATTAATATATAATTTGGTAACCAAAATCTAAATTTGGGAACCAAATGATTGGATTTGGAAGACCAATTGTTTGCTTAATTTCACTAACGTGTCGTAATGAATCGTGATTTTGCTATTGTTATAAGTCAATAATCATAGTACTTCATGCCATAGTAGTTCTGTGATCATGTTTTTCATCCATCAATAAACTTAGGCCCCTATATGTAATATTTTTTAAAAATTAGGCCCTCATCTGTAATTATTTTTAATTTGGGCCCGTATTTGTAATTATTTTCACTTTTCCGGACCCTTATTTGTAAATTCCCCTAAAAAAATACCTGCAACATGATTTTCAAGTTCAACATCCAAAATAACAGACTATGATCAAATGAATGACTATACATCTGCCCTATTTACTATAAAAGTAAATATAATATTTTAGTTTGTCAGATAAGATATAAATCTAAAAACCATAGATCAGAATTTATACATCACATAGTTTTTTATACTTATTCCCTAATAAATAAAATTAAATTATTAAACTTATATAAAAATATTTCAATTTTTAAAGTATTAAAATATAAAAAATTAGCTTACTTATCAAACCATTCTGAATATTTATCATAATTTTCTTTCATGCCAATTCTGTTATGATAACAAATAGATATCTTCTGAATTCACATCAAATTACCTGTCTCTGCTGACTTGAAATAATGTTTGAATGCTTTTTGTTTATCGATTTAGCTAATTAAAGTATAACAGAAGAGTTCTACGTAAAAGCAAATTTAGATTATAATTCTTCACATATGTTGTGCATGAAATTTGAATGAATGTGAATTTGAAATTAGGTTGTGTTAGAATAAAATCAAAATTATTTTATTATGTGTTAAATTAAAATCAATAATTTAAAATTTATATAATAAAAAATAAATTCACTAACCTACATTATTTATATTCTTCTGTTATGACATTTGTTTCTACATTCAAATCTAATTTATTTTTGCAATGACATTTATTAGTAGAATTTCTCTCAACATTTCTTCTAACCTTTCCGACATTATCAAGACCGACAAAAATTTCACTTCTCATTTAGTTTTTTCAACTACTGCATCTAACTGCATCTCTCATTAAAAAACGATAAGTTTAAAGGTAAAAAATTGGTTACCAAAGTTTGTTGTTTCATTACGTATTACAAAAAAAAAAATTTATGTGATGTGACAATTTTTACTAATAAAGGTATTTTAAAAATTACAATTGACTGTATAAAAAAAAGATCATTGCCAATCATATTTATCCTAATTTCAGCCAATTAAAATAAACTTCTGCTATGCTCCTAGCAATACTACAAACATTCTACAATCGATCAAAAATACAATACAAGATACTCTAATATTACTAAAAATTACCAACATAACCTTAACAACCTTATTAAATATTCTTCTAAATTTTACATTTAATATACCAAATCCTCTATTTAAACATATTTTATATATTATTATAGGGACTTTCTTGTCTACTATTTATGAAAATATCAAAACACTTATAAACAAACAAACTGATGCCCTTTTACTCCAGCTTTCAAATGATCTATTAAACTGATTCCATCAAGATCTTTGGTCTATTTGTAACACATACCAATATTAATGGGAAATATCCTGAAATATTACATTAAAATCTAAATACACTAAAATTTATTTACCAACATCACCAAATCCTTTAAACAATACAACAATCTCTTCTTAAACTATAAATTTTAACTCCTTTATCATTAAATGGCTCACACAAAGTTTTTTACTAACTTCTTGTATTTAATAATGTTCAGACAATCACTTAAAGGTCTCCTCCAACCTATCCTAGCTAGAACCTAATTTGAAATAGTTAGCTATAGCATTCACAGGAAATAGGAGATGTAATGTTACATTGGATGCCAATTTGTAGTACAAATATAGTTTAGAAATCTTTAATTTTAGAACTTATGTTTCTATATGTAAAAAGTTTCTACTTGAACATTATATAAATAAAAAAAAAAAAAAAATTTATTGTTTAGTTAATGAAAAATCTTAACTTTCATTTCTATAGTCTTAGAGTATACTTTAAATTATTATTATAAAGCTGCAACTCTTTTTCATTCTATTTCAATATTCAACTATATGTGTATAGTACTTTAGAAAGGTTTTTATAAAGTTTTTGTTTTATTTTTTTTTTTATTTTTATTTTTTTTTAAGACTGATGTTAATAGTAGCTAATATCTTTATTTGTGTTTTTAGTTAATGTATTATATATTACTCATACAAGATGAGCATACAACTAATTACATATAAAATACTAATATATAAAATTGCCAACTCTTTCTGTAGATCACTTATATCAAAAATACAAAAAAAACATTTAATTATTTCTCAACATTATACTAAATAAACCTTACTTGACCTCTTAAGTAAACTTGTTCAGCATACTTTTTTACTTCTAGACAGCTATGTTTTAAGTTCTAATAACACTTGGGTGCCAAGAAAAATTTCAAGAACTATATTTTTGTTTTTTGTCTATTTACTCAATAATTTACTAATTAAATCTATTATATTGCCTATTCAAAGTTGTTCAGCTCACTGAGCCGGACATTTTGATATATATTTTGTTCAAAACAGACCAAAACTCATAGAGATACAAGTGAAAAGCAAAAACAAAAACTTGTCCTTTGCAGATTTTTTTATTGCTAATTTTAGGAAAATTTGCAGGAGTGCCCTGGAAATTTCATTTTTCTGGTATCTATTAGAATTTCCTAAACACCCAATCAGCTTACCTAAAGCTTAAACTTTTTTCCAAACTTTTCTAATCAGTCTGAAAACCTTTAAATTAAACAAATCTTTTCTGAAAACATACTTAAAAATCTATTTTTAGGAAAAAATCTGACCTTAACTACAGTTGTACCTAATACTATTGATCTTGACTATTTTTACCAAAAGTGTTCTAAAAGCTTTGGTATTGGTATTTTTGAATATGCAGCTAATACATCATATCCTATTCTTGCAAACAAGCAATCAAATAATTGTACAACTACAGAACTTAGAGGAGGAACTAAAAGTTGTTACTACTTTAAAGCATCTGAATCTAGTTCTATTATTATATGCTTTTGTGCCAAGTTTTATATCCACTTTATCTTAACTTCTAACCAAATCTACAAACAACACAAAGCTATTTCTACTAACAAAAAATCTAAAGATAAAAAGTCTTTAGCAAACAATATCACAAATTCTACTGAATTTATCCCATTATTACCTATAGCATTATCCTCTCCTACTACACACAATTACTTATGTAATAAATGCAACTTGCCTATTGCCTGCAAAGAAATAAATAATTAACATTATCTGGCAGCAGATGCAATCTAATACAATGACAAACCTCATCACAAAACATATGTAAATACTTAACAATCTACTCAATCATCAAGTTCCTCTCCTATATTCATCCAAAAACTTTAACAAATGATCAGTTCTTATAACCCACTAGCATCTAAACTTATCTTCACAACATCACCTGCAAGTAATACTAGCAACCCAAATGCTATAGACTTGAATAACAATACAATTAACAATAATAATCAACAATTACTATACTTGAACAAACAATTATAACAACAACAACAACCAGACAAACAACAACAACAACCAAACAAACAACAACAGGAAACAAAACCCAATACTAACAACATCTAACAAAAAACTAAAGCCAACCCAACATTTGACTGGCTTGCCAACTTTTCTATAACTGAAGAAATGAAAAATAAATCACAACTGCAAACAGACTTTGCAAAAAAATCTTTAATTTTCTTAAACAGTATCTATATGATTTCAGGCCTGAAACTGAAATTAAACCAAAAATTGGTGATTGACCAGCCCTTAAAGCTAGCTTCTACCATATTATCTGTAAAATGACAGGAGAAAGAGCACAATTTTTAGTTGAGTTTATTTAAAAAAATAACCCAAATACTGACAAAGCTATAACTATTTCTTTTGATGTACTTAAAGAAACTCTTAAAAAACTGATTCTTATATTTATCACTGTATTTTTTACAAAACTTAACTACCCAAAAATCTTTGCATCATCTGCAACTATTTTTCTTTATACAAGTCCAAATCAATTACAATTTTGTATTAATCTTGTCCACTTTCACCTCTATCTTACAAATAACTACCAAGCTATTGACTATATCAAATTTGCTAAAGATATTTAACTTCAACCCAAAAGGTTTAAAATCTTATCTGAAGTAGTTGACTTCGATAAAGAAAAACAATATCTTACAATTAGTTCTAATAATAAATTTAATATATATCTTAAATTTAATATCTTCAAACCATTTTTTTACAAAAACTCAATATCCCAACTCTTAAAAATTTACTTGACTACTTTAAACAGTAGTTTAAACAATTTTTTCCATTATATAATCACCAATTTACCAATCCTATAGATGAAACTAAGGTCCTCAATGCACTTAAATACCAATTTTGACAAAAATTCATTTTTCATCTCAAAGAACTTATGTCTATCAAACTTAGTTTCACAAAACTTAACAACTTACAGGATCATCACGATAAAGCAATTAAACACACTAATCATCATATCCTTTCCTATACAGATACTAATTGCATCTACTTAAAAGAAGCAAAACAATCAAAAAATAAAGAAATTAAACCTAACAATTTTAAAGAATTGTTTCAATACTATGAACTCTTCACAACTTCTTAATAGCATTTTTTAAAAATCTTTATTGACTTTTTTAAACAAGAAAATAAAATCTGACAACAACCCAAACTTGACTTTTTTTTGTTTTATAAAAACAGCAAATATGAAACATCTTTTGACAAACAAATTCCAACTATATTATTTGACAAACTTGCAAATGATGCAGAAAACTCTGCTTGTAAAGCTAATAATGTTCCAACTAATTCCAAATACTACAACTACTATTTCTATCTATATTTAAATCTTTATCAAAATATCATAGCCCAAAATCACAACATAGATAAGCTTAGTAAACAACAAGCAATTAACGTTCTTACAACTAAACCTATTAGTACTGAATTTCTTGCAAAAATTTTAAATTTTTATCACTACTGTGATAAAACACTTATCTATCCTTAAATCACAAACTACTTCCGAGAAACAGCCTATTCTAAGGCAAATAAAATTATATAAGAAAAATTCCAAATGAAATATAAAACACTACCTTTAATTACAGAGTCTCTTTTTATTGAAGAAACCCTTTTTTAATAAACTTGTCTTCTACAACTTTTATAAATGCAGCCACTACTTTACCAAAAGATATACCCTTAGTAGTTGGTAAAGAAAATGATGTAAGTGGACAGATGGTAAAGCCTATTTACATAGAAGACAGAGTAATAATAGTTAGACCCAATGTACAGAGCAGACTATGGTACCTTGCACAGCTATGAGAGCTGAGCATACAGTAATCGACCCTGTAGAAGACAACTTTAAAAGATCATTTTAACATCTTTAGCCCTCTATGATCTTGATATGTGTTTTAACAAATTCCTTCTTTATTATAACATACCTCTTCTCCCTCACAATCAAACCATTCAAACACTTATACAGCATATTAATAAACACAATCACAACCAAAAAGTTACTAGTATTACATTTTCTGTTAATTCTATTTATAGTGAAACCCATATATACCTTCCTAATGACTTACTTTTTTCTAATCATATTATCATTTTCTTTTATTTTCTTCCTAAATTTTACAATCTTCCTCTTAAAGCATATTCTTTCAACTCTACTTCTAATATATCAGACTTATTTCTTAACAATACTTCATCCCTATACCCACTAACAACCAGGCTACAAACCTTTATATCAACCCAAAACTTATATGACCTACACCTAAATATTGCCACACACAATGTTTGAGGCTTTAATACAGTAACTAAAAAGAAAGCTTGGCAAAACTATTGTCTCTACAACAACATTAATATAGCATATATTACTGAAACAAAAATTGCTAACAAAACTAATCTTCAGTTTTGTAATAACAATTTTTTTACCTATTTTTGGGCCAACTCTGAAAACTCAGCAAAAGGCATTGCTATTATGATTCATAACCAACTTAAACCTCATATACATAATTGTCAAACACATCTAGGTGAAGCTATTGCTTTAGACCTT